GCTGAGATTGAAATACGAATTATTTTATATACAGTAATTTGCTTTCAATAATCTCAAAAAGTTAAACTATTATAAGAATGCATTTACTAGAATTATAGTGTAAAAACATTACCTCAAATTACAATTATAAAATTCATTAGACTCAAAGTCATAGTACAAATTAAAGATGATGAAATTGTCAAAATGATATATCATTATATTCAAGGCATTTTTATAAAATATTTAAATCTAATAGCAGATATAAAATGTCAATGAAATTAAGCAATCAACAAGCTAAAATATTCTAACAGTCCATTTTATTTTTATCATTTCTATTTCTACAGCCATAAACTAAATTTCAGACTTCCTTTACTCTCACTACAAGATGCTATTATAACACTAACTTAGAACTCTTAATTTATATCCCCCTAATCAAAAGCCTTCAATGGCTTCCCATTTTACATTCAACTCTGATTCCTTAAAAAGTATATTTTTTTATTTATTAATTTTAGAGAGAGAAAGAGAGAAGGGGGAAAGAGAGGAAAAAAACATCGATTTGGCCAAAACCGGTTTGGCTCAGTGGATAGAGTGTAGGCCTGAGGACTGGAAGGTCCCAGGTTCGATTCCGGTCAAGACCATGTACCTTGGTTGCCGGCACATTCCCTGTAGGGGGTGTGCAGGAGGCAGCTGGTCGATGTTTCTCTCTCATTGATGTTTCTAGCTCTCTATCCCTCTCCCTTCCTCTCTGTGGAAAATCAATAAAATATATATATTTTTTTAAAAAGCACATCGATTTGTTGTTATACTTATTTATGCATTCACTGGTTGATTCTTATATGTGCCCTCACCAGAGATCGAACCCACAACCTAGGCTTATTAGGAGGACACTCAAACCAACTGAGCTACCAGGCCAGGGCTAAAACTAGTTTTGAATGTAATCCATTATCTGGCACCAACCAACTTCCGGATTAATATCCTTTAACTCACTTTTACTCCTCTTTTCAACAAAATTTTTTGAGAATCTATTATGATTAGATTAGAATTAGGATCTAATTAGATTAGAATCTAGGCAACAAGCTAGATTCCAAAATATTCTGTTCTAGTGGTTTTCAAACTGAGGGTTTGTTAAAATATTGCTGGACTCCACCTCCAAAGTTTCTAATTCAAAAGGCATGAATTGACATTTCTCACAAGTTCTCAAGTGATGCTCATACTACTGGTCAAGATCTAGTCTTGGCCGGGACCAGTTTGGCTCAATGGATAGAGCGTCAGCTTGGGGACTGAAGGGTCCCGGGTTCGATTCCGGTCAGGGGCATGTACGTTGGTTGCGGGCATATCCCCAGTAGGGGGTGTGCAAGAGGCAGCTGATCAATGACTCTCTCTCATCGATGTTTCTAACTCTCTCTCTCTCTCCCTTCCTCTCTGTATAAAATCAATAAAATATATTAAAAAAAAAAAAAAAGATCTAGTCTTGGTGAACCACTGCTCTTACTCCTCAAGGCCACAAAGGAAGCCCACAGGCTGAATGATGTCACATGTTTTATCTGTGTAGTGTTTTTAAACATTTTGAATTATTAGCAAACATTTTAAAATTGGAAATTTTTACATAAAATGCAGATCTCTAGCTTACTGTGCATGTAAAAAGCCTCCTGGAACTAAACAGTAGCTACAGTCAAGGAAGATGTCTTCGGATTACCACCATCCTAATGGGCCTTCTGCTTAGCACTGCATTTATGCTTGTAAGCGATGATCCACATCTTTGTGCTGCTCACTTTGACTTGAACGTCCTTTTTCCACTACACTGCTAAAGTCCTGCCTATCCCATTCTAAAGCTTGCTTAAAAATGCTTCCTCAACAAAGCTCTAGCAAAAATAGAAATTGATAAGTAATATAGATACTAAAGATTTAACTTAAATATGTGTGCTTTAAGAATGAAAGCTTTATTTCCACAAATACTAAAATAGCAATATTTAAAAAAAACATAACAGACTATATCATAAACTATATTCCTTTTGCTACTTTTAATCTATGTAAAATTTTAATTTTGTTCATTAAAATGTTTACTGTAAAATCTTTTTCAGAATAAGACATTAAAAGTGAAGTAAAATATTAAATCTACAGCCAAGATATATAATAGCTTTAAGAGATTATCTTATTTTGCTGGCAAAAAACCAAACAAACAAAAAAACCCACAAACAGGGTGGGTGGGGGATGGGAGATAATTGATACAATTCCCAATTTCATAACCTCTCAACCTTTAAAAACTATTTTAATAAAATAAGCAACTCTAAGTTTTTAATTTTAATGGATCTTTATTTCTATGGAATAGCGGGGGAGAGGGGGATGATTACAAACAAAAACTGAGTGCTGGTCCTTGCTCTGCCATAAATAGCTTTGCTATATCGAGTAAGCCATTGAGTTCTGTTCCTCAGTTTTATTAGCTTCTAAACTGAAGAGGGGGTAAAAAGTGACTTCCAAATATCTCCCATCATTAAAGTCATATGACTTACTCCTTCAAAAAATAAAAGCATAAAAATCAATGTCATCAAGACAAGCTTCCTGTATTTAGGCTAGTATTGCTTCTAAATTAGACTGAATTAAAAACCTTGAACTACAGCTTTTCAAAGCTCTAATTTAAAATGTTGAAGACAGAGCTTTGAAAGAATGTGTTTGTGTATATATTTGTGTATATTTTAATGACCAAAATATCACATCTTTTGTAAGGCCAACAATTAAATTTCTTAGAAAAAAACATTGAGGAGGAGAAACCAAGATGGCAGCATAGGGTAGACACCTGAATGCAGTCTACCACAACGATTTTGAATTTACAACTGGAAAACGGGGGAAACATTGCCCTGAAGCTCTGGACGGCTGGCTGAGAGGAAGCTCTGCCTTCTGGGAAGGAGAGAGAAAGGTCGCTGAGCCTCAGGAACTGTGAAGGTGCGGAGAACTGTGTGCTCGAAAAGGCGGCCGCCAAGTTCGCTGCTGGCTTACTACCAGCACGCAAAGTGGGCGGACAGCTAACGCGCGGCTGGCTTTCTTGTTTGGGAGGAAAACAGAACCACCCTATTGCTTTGATAGGCGGCCCCAGTCAGGGAGAGGCTGGACTATTAATATTAGGCAGTGAGCAGAGATCTCTAGGAGGTGCCTGAAGCCAGCGGCCATTTCTGCGGGACTCAGGAACCGGACCCTCGTAGGGAGGGGCTGACAGGAAACCAAAGCTTGTCTGCACCATACGGAGACTCTGCCCCATCCAAGTGGAACACAGAAGCTCTCCGGGAGGGGCTGGCTTTCTCGTTCAGGAGAAAAAATAAAACTCCCAACTGTACTGAGAGACAACTCTGAGCCGGGGAAAACTGGCTGTCAGGGAGCAGACAAAACTCAAGAACAGCCTTTCCCCAAGAGGTGCATGAGCCTGCAACCAATTTTGCGGGATTTGCCGTGAACAGGACTTTCCTAAGGCGGGACTGACGGCGAACCAAAGCTTGCTTGTCTTCACCACCCGAGACTCCACCCCATCCAAGCTGAGCACAGAAGCCCTCCTAGCTGAGACACTGCCGATCTTCACAGCCAATTGGCTTGGAGATCAACGCTTCCCAGTGATACCAATAACAAGGAAGGCTTAACAACAAGACTGCACACACAGCCCACAAAGGGCTGCACCAAGACTGTCCCCCTCAAGTAACTGGGAAGGCTGTGCTACTGGGCTCTACCAGAACACCTTGCACACAAAATTATTCCATCAAGTCAGGGAAGCAGCTAAAATGCAGAGAAGAGGCAGGACACAAAGGAAGGAGATGGAGGAAAGTAAAAGAATGGACATTGAGTTCAAAACTACTGTTATAAGGTTTTTCAAGAATTTCCTTAAAAAAAAAAAAAAGGGAGATAAAATAAATGAGATATTTGAGGATATGAAAAGGGATCAACTAGAAATAAAGAATACATTGTCTGAAATAAAAAATATTATACAGAGTCCTAAAAACAGAATGGAAGATCTCAAGAATCAAGTCAAAGATTTGGAACACAAAGAGCCAGGGGACACTTCTCTGCAGAAGCAAGGAGACAAGAGAATCCAGAAAGTTGAAAATAGTGTAAGAAACCTTTGGGACAACTTCAAGCGAACCAACATCAGAATTATGGGGGTCCCAGAAAAAGAGAGAGAGCAAGATACCAAAAACATATTGAAAGAAATAGTGACAGAAAACTTCCCCCACCTGGTGAAAGAAATAGACTTACAAGTCCAGGAAGTGCACAGAACCCCAAACAAAAGGAATCCAAAGAGGACCACATTAAGACACATCATAATTAAAATCCCCAGAGCAAAAGACAAAGAGAGAATATTAAAAGCAGCAAGAGAAAAGCAGGTAGTTACCTATAAAGGAGCACCCATATGACTGTCAGCTGATTTCTCAACAGAAACCATGCAGGCCAGATGGGAATGGCAAGAAATATTCAAGGTGATGAATAACAAGAACCTACAGCCAAAAATACTCTACCCAGCAAAGCTATCACTCAGAATCGAAGGCCAGATAAAGAGCTTCACAAATAAAAAAAAGCCAAAGGAGTTCATCATCGCCAAACCAGAATTATATGAATTGCTGAAGGGGGTTCTTTAGGAAGAGGAAGAAGATAAAGATAAAAATTATGCACAACAAATACGTAACTATCAACAAGTGAAACTAAAAACCAAGGGAATTAAAAAACCTGATGAACAATATTAACTGTTGAATATAACAGAATCAGAGGTATGGAAGGGGAGTGAACTGACGATTCTGGGGGAAAAGGGGAGAGGGGGATGCGGGAAGAGACTGAACAAAAACTGTGTACCTATGGATGAGGAAAATGGGGGATGGGGAAAGGGCAGAGGGTGGGGTGGGAACCTGGTGGAGGAGAGCAATGGAGGGGGGAAAAAAGAGGAACATTTGTAATAATCTGAACAATAAATCTTAAAACAGATTTATTTTAAAAAGAAAAAAAGAAAAAAACATTGAGGAGAGACAAAAAATATATACCTCAAAATTAAATAGTTTTCAAAATGTCACAAAAGGTTGGTTTTTTTTTTTCATAATAGAGATTAGCGATACATTATAAGAATCCATATTCTGCTTTAAGACAACCCTAAGAGAAAGTAATTTGGCCAAAATTCAAATGATCATATTGTGAAACTGAAAAAAAAATTTAGAAACTATTATATTCAGGCAGATCATGCCGTAAGCGAATTGCTTTCAGCTTCTCCACTTCAATTTTTGCTTGTAGCAGCTCTTCTTCTAGCTGCTGTCTTCTTTTCAATCCATCCCTCTTCTCCTGTACATACAATCCAAAATTTTTTTGATTTTCTAAAATTATCTGATGCTCCTCTTTCAGCATTTGCAGAATCTGAGGATCATACCCGAATCGTGACCTAAGGTGTCCTCCACACTCATGATGAAAAAAATCATCTCTCCTCGGGATGGAAGATGGAGACGATGTCATTCTCATATCAACAGAGGAAAGTGACGGCGACACAGATCTTTCCATAGTATGTACTAATTCATGTTCTTCTCTTTGCTCTAAAGTATAACTCTGTCCCAAATTTAAAACCAGTGGAGGAGAGGGCTTAATGTCTTCTTCTTGCTTCACCTCCACTGTTATAGCAACTGGATGCTGATCCAACATTACCTGTAGTGAACTGGTACCAGCCTGAGCCGCCTCAGCCAAGTTTGCACTACAGCACACAAAAAAGCATTATAAAATGTAAATCAAATGAAGACAAGAATATATTTACACCATAACTTCATGTTTAATGTACATTAAATTATTAAACTTTAAAGCTATAAAAAAATTATGAAACAAAATATTTAACCCTTAGAGTAACAAATTGAAAGTAATTAAATTTAGGATCTTAATACCATACATATATGTTATTTCCCATTCTTAACTTTAAAATCCGGCTCCTAAAAGAACAGGAAATTACTAATACTACACAAATGACAATGAGGTAAATAAAAAAGAAAAGCCATTTTTAATGATTTCAAAGAGGCGCCAATTGCTCCTACAAGCCTGATGTTCTTTAATGGTATTCTGGGTCTTGCTATCCCCATACCTTCTTTGCCCTTGATCTGCTTCTGCTCTCCTGGATTGATCTAAAAATTGCCAAGTTCCAAGACTCCTAGGAGGATAATGGAAGGGAATCTATGAGAAGCAATGTTTTCTGCATTTGTTTAAAAAAAAAAGAAAAAAAGAAAAAAGAAAAATCCCAGATTGTGTATGGCTTCAGATGCCATCAGGATTATCCTAACTATCCAATTTCAGGTGCAATGTTTAATCGTACCTATCCTAAACCACATGACTCAGTTGTTCTCTCAGTCTGTCAACCATTGGTCAGGTAAAGTTAACCGGCATAAGACTATACTTGAAACCTGGTAGGTGATCATCGTATTTGGAATGTTATGTGAGTGCGATGGTCTTAGATAGGCTATCTATAATATGTTGAAAGTTTATTAAGTTTACATGCTATTTCCATAAAACTGTATAGGCATCTACAATTTTAGCAGAATTTATGAATACGTTACTATGTAACTATAATGTCCCTTAAAGTTCTGTTTTTTTAAAAAATAATTTCAGTTATACCAGGAAGCTATTAAGACTATATAATCTTGTTTCTTGAGGGTTATTTTTAAATTTTAGCTTCTGCCTTACTAAAAAATAAAAATTAGAAACGGAAAGAGATTATTAGATATTACTGAGAAAGTGCTATATTAACATTATTTACAGAACATTTCACAAATGATAAGTAACATAGTTTAAGTAGAACTTAGGAAAAAATTTAAATCCCCATATGTCACTTACAAATGGCATTAAACTGTCAATAACATCAGATGTTTGTTTAAGGGATACAAATGAAATAGATAGTATGTTATAAAAAAAAACAAAACAAAACCTATTTGTAGATTATATAAATTCATCCATTTTCATACCTTTTTTGTCATCTTATAATTTTCTCTTAAAAATGTCTTTTTATTGATTTCAGAGAAGAGGGGAGGGAGGGAGGGAGAGAGAAGCATCAGTGATGAGAGAGAATCATCAGTTGGCTGCCTTCTGCTCGCCCCTCACCGGGGCCCAAGCCTGCCACCCCAGCATGTGCCCTGACCAGGAACTGACTGACACTCCTGGTTCGGAGGTTAATGCTCAACCACTGAACCACACTGTGGCTGGCTATCATCTTAGGACTTTCAAAAGCAAAACGACAGAATATAAACGTGATTCAAGTTAGTAAGATTTACTTTTATAAACATCTCTAAAACCTACAATGAAAAAATGTTACCACTGCAGATTAAATTTTAAAAATTTATACTATAACTATTCCAAATTAATATTTACAATAATAGAGTACAATACAATTGACAAATACATTATACTCTCATGTAAATTAAAAATGTCTTATATTCTATTCCATTTTAGTGGAAACATTATAAGTAACGTCAGCATATAAAAAATGCTTTAGAGAAAGTCACAAAAGTGATAAACAGAAGGGTTTCTAAAATTTAGAAATATGGATTGTAAGGATCAAGTGGGTTACAAAAACACAAAATATAATTTGATATTATAAAATAATTATAAACTTGTGAGATAGTTATCAAGATTCAAGATGATGTCAAATAAATATAAGCACATTAAATATATCAATATATTACATGAAAACGCTAATATGAAAAATGGCAGTGTAGACACTAACATAAGCAAGCATTTAAATGGCTTATTTCTGATATTCTTCACTTTAAAATATGAAAAAAATGTTATTGTTTAAAAAGTATAAAAATATGTGAATCAATTAATTCCTCTGATCAGAGAAATGCTGTCCCAAAAGACTGTATATGTAACATACATACACATACAAATGGTCAAAATATAAACAGAAACTTGTATCTTATTTCTCTTCTATATTCATTGTGTTTTTAAAATATCCAACTAAAACTACAGTTTTTATGTGTAGTTTTCAAATTACAAATCTATACTTAACACCCAAAAGATGGTTTTATACCTGTAATGCAAAAGCAACTTTTCTTATGGTTTGAGGAGAATAAAAATGTAGGAAGTAACACAGTATAAAACAGTCTTGCAGTGGAGGTTTCTGGACATCAGCATGTTAGTATTTAATCATTTGTCATCTCAGTGAACATTTTAAGTACATAATTTAATACATTATGTACCCATGTTCCAGATTCCCACTAGTGATTTTTTTTTTTTTTACTATGCTATCAACTAGAAATAAGCAATATGTGGTAAGAAACTGAGCTTAAAAATGATCCCAGTAAATTATCAAAATAACAAATAAGTTTGGTCAAAAAGTTTTTTCCCTGTTCCTCTCCTTACTTCAAAAAGTTTTCACAGATGATCAATAAATTTGCTTATATGATGACTCTTCCACTAATGGAAACGCATATTGTAAAGCTTTATTTGAAAGGTCTGTCAACTAACAAGAAGTTTACAGCTTGTTTAAATTACCCTAAATGGTTCAGAAGAATGTAGCTGCCATTTTTCTCTTTTGCCAGGGGTTGAAATTTGAATCAGCAGTAAAATAATAGTCTTTAAGATTCCAAGGCGAGTAATCATGTAGCCCAAGAATTTAACAACAATAAAATGTTTCTAACTCTGAAACCAGGTGCTCTTGTTGGCCTAATAAAATTCAGTTTGATATTCATAGGTCTATTAAAAGCAATTTGTGAAAACCTGCCCTTTCCTATGTAACCCACGATCAATACCATTAATAAATACATAAAAACTGTATTTTATTAAGCAACCTGAATCCCTAATTAGGCATTAGCTCCTTTCCTTGTTTATTTTAAATATGTTAGAAAAATAATGTAAACTATCTTACCATATGCAATACCATTAATAAGTTTACTCAATTATTGATTTTAGTTTTTTAGCTCAAATATTCAATAAGTGGAGACAGTGACAATTTCACATGCAAGCAAGGGTTCCATTTCTCCTACAACTAACTTTCTATGAAGCTGAAAATTCCAATGAAATGTCATCTTAAATGAAATCTTAAAAGGCCTCTCTCTCGGCTAATTAAATAATTTAACTTTAAAGCTGAAAAAGTTTAAGAACAGATGTCACAAATTTCACCCCAACCATTCCTCCCTAACCTTCACTTGTTAGAAACCACAGGAGGAGGGAAGGGGGAAGGGAAAACAATAAAAGTGACTTCAATGAAATGCAGCAGGAAAATTCCTTGTAGCCTCACTTTTCTTTTTTTAGAACGCAAAACAAAGCCACCATTCATTGCTCCCAGGGGGGATGCTTACGATGCATATCTCTGCCTCAGCTAGGCCAGAGCCCAATAGACAGGAGGCGCCATAATTTTCCACAACAAAATAAAATAAAGCTTACCTTTGTGTGTGGTTCCTGTCTCTTACCAGGCAAAAACTGGAAATCTGGGGGATCATCTCCATAACTTTCTTGGTTGGCTCAGAAATACTGCCTTTTAAGTCTGACTGGGTGTCTTTGTGCTGCAAAAGCTCCTGTTTGGCATATTCTTTGAGCCTTTTGTAAAGGGTGCGTAGGCCCTGCGCTGTTCGAGGAGGGCGGTCTACGCCAATTGCATTATAGTTAACCGCTATGATATCCCAACATCTATTCTTTTCCACTATCACTGAATGCTTGTTAGTGTGTTCTTCGAGAATTTTCACATATGGCTTCACCAGCTTTAGCAGATCAAGCTTTTCAGATAAGGTAAAATTGGAAGATCTGGCCTTTCCTACCATTGTTCTGGTCTCAGATTAAGGAGGCAGTTTCTGAAACCACCATGCAGCCTTCAGCTCTGCTCAGCTCTTTTCACAAACGGAAAAAGATCAGGCTTAACTAGGCTAGCCTCGTTTAGGCCCACGCCTACAGGGGAGGGTTTATTAAAATTCCTCCAGCTTAAGCTGACGCAGGTTCAGGAAATCTGCTTAAGCCAAGCCTGACCTACATAAAGCTTCTCCCTGAAACAGGCAGGAAGGCACAGGCAAAACACACTTGTGTATAAAGAGAACAGCTCGAGATAGGATTTAATACACAAAGGTCTAGAGATAAGCATGGAACGCGGCTAAAAATTAGCTAATTTGGTGAGAATATCAGATTTCCACATATGTATGCTTAGCTGATGTTGAAACTGCGCGGCGGTATCACTTTAATAAAAACAAAAGAGGAACTGCTTTGTCCTGTTCACAGAATAAAAACTAACGACATGAATGTAGTCATTCCTAACTGAGCGAGGCCCACGGTTTCTGAGCTGCTGTTCTCTCTTACAAAATCTGCATAATGCTGGTCCTGCTGTCAATCAGGAATTGCATATCCTCTAGCTAGTTAGGTTACACCCAGGCTCACACTCCGCAGTAAAGCTAAGCTTCTCCTCCAATTTACAACCTACGGTATCCACGGGGCTGAGCGCTTTTCCAGTCACTTAAGAAGAATTTTTTGTCAAACAATGAATCTAAAAAGCAGGGGAGGGGAAATGTTTTAAAGCAATGTATTATTCTCGCTGTAACATATGTGAATATGCTAGCCTGCACTATCATGTGTAAAAATCACCACAGTGAAAACAGCATAATCTCGCCTTAAACAACAAAATCACTATTTTGCTATTATTAAGGTATACTCACACAACCTTAACTGCGAAAGAAAACGGCGTAGCCATTTGCAAGGCTACCAGTTGATGTGCTTAAAATGTATTTTCTAATCCCTGTCTGAAAACATGGTAAATAATGTAAGCTTAAAAATAAGCTTATTGTCTCCTGACATACAAGTTTATCCAGATAAAAGAATGAATTGGAACATATTTGAACACAGTTCCATTCAACCAATTACTGAACAGCAGTTATAAACCCTCCCAAGCCCTGCGCCAGGCCCAAGAAAAACAAAGGTGAATTCTACCTGACACAGCCCCTATTCAGGAAGCTGTGGTTCTGCAGAAACACCATAAAATTTCAACTCCTTGTTTTTCATTCCTTCAGTAGAGAGAAGCAAATTAAATGTATTGAGTTCTCAGATGAGCCACACGATGTGCAAGAAGTTTTAAATGTGTATCCATCATTGAGCCATAAAACTGACCAAAGGCTGGGTGTTCTGATGAGATAAACAACAACAAAAAGAGGACTAGGCACACAGACAGGGACCTCGTGGAGGCAGGGGAAAGGAAGTCGGACGAGGAGGTGATCCTGGCTGGGCTGGGAAAACTCGACCCTTGACCTGGCCAGGTGGGGCCAGTGAGGTCACCTGGGACCTGAAGTGGCAGTCCTTAATCAGGTCCTCCTGAAATGAAGTATGGTAGTAGAAAGTGCTGTTTGGGTCCTGTGCTGCTTATTTGCTTGCTAAAACAATATAAAGTTATTTTGATTTTCTGAACTTATGCATGCTATCCCAATACTCCACTGATGAAAGCTTGAATATCCCATTGACTGTGATCTCACTGGTCATCGGAGCACATTCCTGGGACCCAAGTCAGATCAATTATCCTAAATGGCCTCAGTAGCTAGAGAGTTGAGTACATTCCTGTTGGCTCAGTGATCCCAGAATCCGGACAGCACAATTATTCTAATTGTCCAGATGGTCCGTCCCAGATAATGTGTTTCTGCTGATTTGGTGATTGGTAGATAACTAAGTTGCTCAAATTCTGCTTCTGTAAAAATGCTTTTTGAGAAACAGGTTCCTCATTCCAGACCCAAACATGTAGTCCATACCTTTGTGATATTCTGCCAATATAAGCCAGGCGTGGCAAGCTGTTGGGGGCTGCGAGATTTGGAGCTTTAGGCCCTTGTATGCCACCGGCCGTTAATAAATGACTCCATAATTGGACTTTTCTGAGGCGTCCTCTGTAAGATGGGGGTTACACTACAACACTCCCACAGGTGGGAACTTGGACCTGGATAGAATTAGATATTGCCAGAATTCCTTAAAGAGACCAATCAGAAGCTAGCAGAGATACCAATATTCCCTAAATCAAAAGTTTATGTGGGTAACCCATTTGGGGACCCCTTCTTGCTGCCTTGCAGCAGGAAGTCCATGTACTTCTGTTATAGTTATATTAGTGTGATGTTTGATTTATATTTTAAGGATTTAAAATAGTGTGAGAATAATTATTTGTGTGATTTAAAATAGGAGCGAAAGCATTTATTTTTATGAGTGATTTATAGTTTAAGTGTGACTTGTATTTCTGATCTTATTCTGATTTTATTTTAAGTAAAAGAAATTATTTGAAACGTGTTTTAGGCTTAGTATAAGCAACTCCATTTAGTGTGATTTGAATCCATTTTGTAAAACTTGAGTTTTAAGACTGACTTTGAGCCCCTAACTGTATGAACGCCCTAACATGTGCTTATCTGGAAAGTTGTAACTGTGTGAACACCCTAACAAGTGGTTATCTGGAAAGTTGGAAAGCGAGGCAAAAGGTACCTGGAGAGCGCCCGATTAGGCACACTGAAGACCCATTGGTTGTACCCAGAAGGAACCAGAGAATACCCAGAAATGGCCATAAAAGGGACCTAGAGGCACTGGGCAGAGACCATGAAGGGGCCCTCCACCCGACGTGTTCTCTCCACTCCCTTCTTCCTGTTGGAAACACTGCGTGAGACTCTGCCCCACTCCCTTCTTCCTGTTGGAAATACTGCGTGAGACTCTGCCCGAGCGAACCTGTCACTCTGCCTGTGAGCCGAACCTCTGAGGCCTCGTTCCTGACCGAGACGCTGCAGCAAAGTGCTCCTGTCCAGTGTGTGTGTCTGTCGGCGCGGATCTCCGGGTGACCTGCCTAGGCTTCTGGAAACCACCGGGACTCTGATAAATAAACCTTGGGATTCGTGCATTCTAACTCTTGTTTCTGTGTTTAGTTTATGCTCGATCAATTTTAGTTAAGTACTGTGGGCAAACCCGTATAAGTCCAATCCTTTGGCTGAGGGACCCCAGTCACCTGTGCATATGTTCCCACCAGAGGGTGAGATGGAACAATCTCCTTGTCTCCTCCCCCAAGCTTTACCCCCCAATAAATTCTGTTTCCTTCCCACCGTTTTTGTCCCTGAATCCACTTTCCAGTTTTACGAGACAAAGCACTCGGACCCAACCGCATTGGGGTATACTGTGGGTTTCAATATGGAATGCTAAGTGTTGTGTGGTATACCTTACTGAGTAGTCTCATTTGTTAGTACGTAGTTCTAGCTTTTCACTGCCATTGGTCAGTTTTACTGCTCAATAAATTGTTGTAAATAGTAATGATTATTGTCCATAGAGATGGGAATTGAAAATTGGCCCGTGCCAACAACCTGACCACAGATAGGCAAAGAAGAACAAGAACACAAGATATATACTATCCTTAAGTAATATTTTGTTATTTTGGAGAAAAAATGAAGGTATTATATTAAGAAACAAGATACCAGTAAAAATATGAAAAATCATTCAATCTCTAAATTATCAAGAGAATGTATAGTAAAAATACATTTCATCCATAAAATTGGCAAAATTCTTACACACTGAAAATATCAAGAGCAGATAAGGGGGCAGGGCAAAGAGCACTCTTCGGTCCTGATGATGGATGTGTAAAATGGCATTCTGGACATTAATCTGAGAATATCCATTAATATTTTATATTTGTAAAATCTTCCAAAACTGTTAACCTGAAAATAACTTCGCCAAGTGAGAGACAACAAGCATTTATGTAGGGATCGGTTATAGCAGCGTTTTTCAACCGCTGTTCCGCGGCACACTAGATGTTGCCTGGTGTGCCGTAGGTGCAGACAAGACAAGAATTTTATAATTTTTCACTATTTTGTTTACTTAATATTTCATAATAAAGTAATTATAAAATACTTTCTTTGTGTTTATTTGATTCCTATTCAAGAGAATTACTTTATATATAGTCAATATAGGCACAGAGTTAAATTTTTTAACATTTTCTAATGGTGGTGTGCCTCGTGATTTTTTTCATGAAACAAGTGTGCCTTTGCCCAAAAAAGGTTGAAAAACACTGGGTTATAGGGTTAAGCCTTGGACTGACCTGCTGGCAAAGCCACAAACAAGTCCCAGCTTAGAGGGCACAGCCCTCTTAGCATAATTACTCTTGATCTTGGGACTGCTCCCTAGATCTTTCCTGGGTAGCTAATGGGCTGTGGGAGGTGGAGCAAGCTGCCAAAACAAGTGAAACTCACAGGAACACTGTAACTATGGTGACCACTACCTTGTTTACCTCTAACTATAAAATAAAGGCTCAGCTTGCCATCTGGATCTATTCTCTGTGGCTTTCGCCAGGCACAGGAGATCCATCTAGACCCAGCTTATCCTCTTTGTTTGTCTTTTCTACATCCTTCACCGGCCCTCCCTCAGGGTCCCCCAACCCTTGGCTGGGTGTGGCACACGTTTGTTTACTTGAGGACCAACACAATAGCTATTCAGAAAGCAGTGATTCAGACAGAAACCCAAAGTCTTCCAATTAGGAGGTGAAGGCAAGGGGTATTTATGAGACAGAAAAGGGGAATAATTATATGAGTAGAATCAAGGGTGCTAATAAGCTATATATAATAAGGAATTTCTGTAGAGGCAGATAAGCTAATACAGTGATGCTGATTCTTAAAAATGTCTTTCATTTTCAGTACAGTAGTCATAATAACTGCTCTCTTGTTATCTTTGCAAATAGTTCTTTGGAACACAATGTTGCTTTAAGCTCAGATCAAATATTGTTTTGCCCAGTTTTAACATTCCAAAGATTTGAGGATTAAGACACACAGGCAAGGCAGTTCCTCTGGGATGACAGCTCCAACTCCATTTTGGTTTTTGTGTTGATGTTGTTTTTTTTAATATATTTTATTGATTTTTTACAGAAAGGAAGAGAGAGGGATAGAGTTAGAAACATCGATGAGAGAGAATCATCGATCAGCTGCCTCTTGCACATCCCCACTGAGGATGTGCCCGCAACCAAGGTACATGTCCTTGACCGGAATCGAACCTGGGACCTTTCAGTCCGCAGGCCGACGCTCTATCCACTGAGCCAAACCAGTTTCGGCTCCAACTCCATTTTGAAATGGCTCTGTTTATATTATTTTTTACAATACTATGGTCTACATTAGGCAGCATTAAAATGAAAGAGGCAGATTTCGTGTGTGTGTGGGTGTGTGTAGATTGATTTCAGAGAGAAAAAGAG